TAGGTGATTGGGAATTTAACAAATGAAGAATTGGCAGAACCAATGAGATACGGAAAATTGAATTACTAAGCCATGAAAGTGGTATCATCTAAAGTTGCTACAATACAAGTGAGAGGAGATGATCAAGAATAGAAGGTTATTAATAGTTTAGAGCGAGCAAAACAGTGAGGATCCGTTGTGTTTATTATATTAAGCAAAGAAGTATAATGAGGGCAAGTGCTCCATAATTATTAAATAAGTTTATTCATGTTGTTTCAAGGGCAACAATCCTCATATCGTTGGTCCTATTGCTCAGTGGGTCAAACCCTGTGCAATATTGATTATGGCGTATCTCAACAAAAATACCAATTTTATAACAGTGTATAATCCAGTGACATAGTTGTCCTCAGTTAATCCTTACTGATAATGGGACCAACTTCACCTCGCATATTTTACCCAAGCTCAATGAACTTACAGCCATCTGCAGTATTATAATGACCCCTTATCACCCAGAATCCAAGGGTATAATCAAATGGGTCAATTGGACACTGGTTATTATACTATGAAATCTGTTAATAATATAGACCCTCTGATTGGAATACATTCTTTCCACCACTTTCTTTTCTTACATAAGTTATCACTTGGAAATGGGGACTAGTCCTTTCCAGTTACTATATGGACAGCGCCTAGCTCTACCCACACTGATCTATGCCTGCATGGAAGATACCAGCAGAATGGATCCTCAACACTACTTGACCACCCTAACAAATATACTGATTAAGCTGCAAACTGAAGTGTACTTGTTGAGGTTAGCCAAGAAGATAAAGAATCAGGCTAATAATCAGGCATGGTATAGTGGGATAGCTCAGTTCAAAGATGGTGACATGGTTCTATTTCATGATCAGCATGGGTTTGGGTGCAAGCACAAATTGGCCAGCATCTGGATTGGGCCATTTGAAATAATTGAGAACTGGTGTGGATGCCTATACTATCAAGGACCCTGAGAGCAGTCAGATCATTAACCAAGTGCATGCAAAGTTCCTTCAGGTGTATAAACAATAGGAGCTTTATCATCCAGTCAAGGGGGTTAATGTTGCTATTCTGATGTGACTGGACAATAAGCCCTAAGTTTTTATAGTGGAATGGGTAGAATCCACCAATCATGATTATTAGTTACAATTATTTGAGTGCCTTAGGATGAGGCAATATTGGGGTTGGAAAGGATATATTAGATTGTCTCTGAATCAGGCAATAAGATGGTGTCAATGAATGACAAATAATGAGATGTCGGCATACTCAAATACTGAGTAGACTGCCTTGAAATAGGGCAATTGTGAATTTAATAAATAGTGAACTCTGCCAGAACCAATGAGAATACAGCAGAACAAATAGTCTAAGTAAAAAGGTCAGTATCAACTGAGGTTGCTGAGATATCAGCGATATGAGCAGATTGAAAGGGGAGGTTGTTAGTAAGAAAGAGAGAGCAGAGCAGCAAGCGTCCACTGAAAATATTAAGTTAAATAAAGAAGTATCACTGGAGCAATAGCTCCCATTTATATTATATTTATTTTATGGGTGTGCTGAGGACTGAAAATCTCCATATCATCCATTCTATTGCTTGGTGGGCTTGACCCTGCGCAAAACCCTTCAATGTATCTTCTAAATATTGCCAAAGTTATAACAGTAGTGATCCCCATATAGCTATCCTGTTGGGTTGGTGGCTTTTGAGCCTTTGGCACTAATATACCAATTTTCTTACATCCCTTCTCCAAAGGCTATAATGTATAAGTTAGGTGCCAGGTAATCTCTGGGTTTAGAAATTTTATAAGGCTGCAGTTTACAGAGGTCACTTCTAGTGACTCAACTTGCCATAGGTGAGTTTGCAACCGACGTAAAGCTGCTATAACCTCATTTAACTATAGACAGTGTCCAATCCCTTATCATGGCTACCTACATGTAAGTGCTTACCTAAAATCCACAAGCTGAAACCCCAAACCCATCCCACTACCCACCTTACTTGGTCCCATAAGGGTCTCCCAATGTTAAAATAGCTGCCACCTACTAGACCTAGGATTGTCTAACCTGTGCCACTTGCTAGGTTGCCACCTTCAAAGCCGCAGTAGCCATAGTTACTTATATTCCGCCTTGTAATAGGGTAGGTCCATAATTTTGCAAAGTTTTCTTACCTCACCCTCAAAATAACAAACCTTTAGAGGGCTAAGCCATGTACAACCCAAGTGTTATTCTGGATGTTAAAAGTAAACATGTTGAAAGCCCAAATAAACCCTATTAGCCATATTTCTGGCAAAAGAACTGCACCGCTGCATACCTGTACTGCACCCAGCCAACGCCTTTTAGTAAACTGTGGGATGGCTTATATAATCCCATTTGCAGAGGGTTAAAGCCAGTTTCTGGTACCCCTTGTGAATACCCGCTTCAGCCGTCTAACTTAGCACTCACGACATGGCTTTGTAGAGATGTACCCTTTTAACTGCTAGTGGCCAACGCCAACCAAATAGAGGAAGCGTGGGAGGAAGCTCGTAAGGTGTACCGTAAACGGCAAAAAAGGTCGGCGCAGATGAAGCCATCCAGCCATCCTTAACTTTAAGTCAATGGATATAAATAAACCAATCGTTTGGCCTTAAATATTTGGCATTTAGTTATAAACGCAAGAGAGAGTTGTGGATCTGAAAGAGAGCCTGGATCATTGCAATGTAAAGCTTTTAAAAGACAAAATAACACCAATTCAAAGTAAGCTTCAAACCCTTTAGACAAAACGCACAACTTCTAAGTTTAATCTTTTTGGCTGGAGGACTGGAGAGCCTGGGTGGCATACATTTTGGTCAGGGCGGGACCAACCAGCTGGTTAAGCTGGCTGCAGCAGGAGTTAATCTGGTGATTGATGAGGAGAAGATCCAATCGGGAAGGCTCCGGAGGGACCTTGAACTTAAGCGCGACTTGCTCTTCAGTTTCCAAAGGTAGTTCAGGCTGACCCCGCGCAACGCGGGTTTCGTTCTCAGCACGCTTAATGGTTAGTAGGCGTCGCGAAAGTGGCTACCTTGGACTGCATGTAGTTCTGGATGCGAGCCTTTTCGCGAACAAGGGCGCGTTGATGGTAATGTAGCGTGCTTTGCTCGTTGCTAAAATCTTCGAACGAGTCAAGGAGGGTCTGAAGGTTCTTCTCGATGTAGGGCTCCGCATTAAGCTCCAACGCCAAGTAGTTGGGGCCCACGGTAGCTGGGTCGGAGATGCCAAAACTAAGGGCTGGCCCCGAAGAAGCAGCGCTTGCGAAGAGGGCCGAGTCGTCATCAAGCTCGTGAAGAAGAGCGGCGGCAATACGAGTGTTACTCAGAGTGAGAGGGATCGCCTTAAGGATGTTTGAAGAATCCAGTTTAGCTGCCAGAAGGCTGAACATTAGCATTTGGCCATTCAAGCTTACTTGGATAAGGTAAATTTGCCCGCGTTATAAACTTCCATAAAGCTGTCAGAAAGACGGTAAGCTCGGATATGCAAGTTGCCCATGGACGAGCGAGAGACATCTACAGGTTAGCGCCTGCAGACGCAAATTACCATGGACGAGCACAACGCATTTGGGGCCCAAGCTCTTTTGGTAGCTTGCCTGCGTCTCAATAAAGGATTGAGTCAAGAACTCGTCGAATTGAGATGACAAGTACCAACCAGTTACGTTGCTATCAATGCTGACATCCTTATAGTGACGAATCATCTCCAGGCGATATTGAGCGACTAACATTTTAACCACATCAAAAGATTAAATTACGGTTAACCGTCTTATCACCATCGTTGGTAGTGGGAAAGGGAAAGCAGTTGGTCACCTCGAGCTCCTCGTTCATGTCAAGCCCAAGGAGCTGCCCAGATGCGGGGGCCGGGTAGGTCTCCCGACCGTGCTTGATGATTTTCAAAAGTGCCTAAGTGTAAGTTTGTAAGCTGAGGTCGCTAGACGCCGAATAGTTTAAATGAATAGGGAGGCATCAAAATGCCTCTTTGAGGACCTAACGGCCAAGGGCCCAAATTCAAAAGCGAAATCTGCTCGAGCTGCCAAAAGTTTCTTAAATTTCAATTGAACACAACCCGTTTTAGAAAAAGTTTTAAGATTTTAACTAGCTAAAGCTTAGCCGCACGCTAAAGTACTACACTGCACTATAAGTTTACGCATCGCGCAGCTCCGAAACGAAATCCTATCATTTATCTCCCAGTCCATAATAAAGCAACCGCTGATGCAATAAGCGGTCAGTATTCTACATAAAAAATAGGGACTCTAAAAACAAATTGAAAAACAAATCAAGCTCAATTTGATGAGGCTCTACACAGGAACAGCTCATAAAAAGCCGAGCTGGAGAGTAGCTTGGATAGCAGCCGTGCTATGAAGCTGAATGAAGCAACAACCAAACAAGGCATGCAACTCCAACATGTTACGACCCTATCTAACTTAAGACTGGGTTGGATTTAGAAAAAGATCAAGGTCAGTGGTACCGGTTCCGTTTGCAAATAAAAACGGTAGGCTTACTGCAAAAAGACACGTAATAGCTTAGAAGCAAATCTGTAGACAAAAGGGGGTCAAATAAAGGCGGGTAAGCAGTAGCATCTTGAACCAAAAGCTAACAAACAACCCAGCTATCGGTCGGAGGGTTGGGCTTTTAAAGCCAAGTTGCGTATCAACGGTAAAGGGCCAATACCGATTATCCCCACGGAAAACTTAACAAGCTTACCAAAGCATCGAGCTGGACCATCTCGATGGGAATCTTGCCCTCGACATCAAAGTCGGTGATACTATTTTTAGGCTCCTTGGTATGGGGTGTCGATGTGAGTTTGGCTTTTGGCATGCTAACAGATTTAAACCTTGTCGCAAGGTATTATGGTTTAAAACATTAAGCTTCCCCCAGAGCCTGCAAATTTTATTTTCCCCAAAGTTGTGGTTCTTCGATAAGCATGCTTCCCTATGACAAGCTTTAAATTGTTAAATTAGTTTAAGCATGATGTAAGTAATATAAAAGAATTTCGAAGCGTTGTTGGTTTAGTGGTATAATGGCCGCCTGCCACGCGGGCAACCCTTGTTCGTTTCCTGGATAATGCACTTTAATAAAATTTCTGACTTTTTTAGAACTATATCCAGTTTAGCATGCTACCATAACTTTTTTTTGCTTTGCACAACAGAAGCAGATGAAATTTGTTTAATGTATTGACCATTGTGTTGAAGTTCACTCCTATTTAAAGTTTTTAAATACCCTTAAATATACCATACCATTTAAAATTATACCTGAATAGTAAAGATACTCTTAAAAAAGGCTTTAAGCTTTTATGGTATAGTTGGCAGTAGTGATGATACCTTTAGGTAAAGCCATTTATTGAATAACATTTATTTAGTAACTGAGAGAAGACGGTATGGCATATAGGATCATATGGCATTATGGTTTCCAGAGGTAATAAAGATTTTGTCTAACTATTTCATTATCCTTTAAAGTCTACAAGCAGTTAAAGAAAATCTAATTTTATGGTGCTTGGACCATTTAGCTACTTTGCATTGTTGATCCTTTATTGACTTCAAACTTGATGGTAAAGGATTGTAATTATACTCTTTGATACATCTGAGGCTTATCTTAACTGTATAGTTTACTTTACTTTCTTTTACATCAAAAATCATGAATACTTTATGTTATAAAATTGCTTTTCTGGCAATAGTGGGCTCTGCTAGTTGGCGGCCTACCAGTATGAAGACTGGTTGGCCCTTGCCATTTTGCCTTAGGCGTTGGGGTCATCAGTGCCAGCTGACCTCTTGTGTGATGGTTGGTGTTTTTCCTCAACATCACATTGCCCTGATCTTTGATAAGATAGGACAAACTGGTGTGAAAGATAGAGGGAGTGATAGAATATTAGTCTTAGCTAGACCCCAGGTTGGGACTGAGACTGGGGAAGGATGGCAGTTAGATGTTTGTCAGGCCTGGGGTCAAACCAAATGGTTTTTAAGTGGGTGGTTTATAGGTTAAAGGTGGATATGAATCAGAATTAGAATGATTCTTGGATGTAGTGGCTCAGCCACTACAAAATTCAATATAACCTAAAACAATTGAGGTTTGCTTATAACATATTTCTAAAGACATAGTATTAAGCATGATGGATGATCTTGATCTATGCTTGCATCATAGAGCTATACGAGAAGGGACTTGAGAATGGGAGGTTCTCTAGTTCTGTTTTCTATCAACTTGCCTAAATTATATCCAATAAAGCTATCCTTGAGCCTTACTTTTTTATAATTGTCTTCTATGGTTTATATTGAAATATTTAGTCTAATAGCGGCCATTTTTGGCCTACAAAAACAGGAGGTAGACCTTGAGAGTGAGTTTGGGAAGGCTATTGCCTCCTTATACACCTTGTATTGGGGGCATGGCATGTTGCTTGGGGTAAGCATACTTGCAACTGCCCTCCAAGAAGTGTTTATCCATGGTGACTGTAGTGCAGGCAGCAGAAGAATTGTTTCAGGGACCTTGTCAGCCCTTTGGTCATTGACTTGGGTCCTGCTTCTTAATTCCTTCATGGATCATTGAAAGGAGCCAGTGCGTTACACTTTGGTGTTCATCAGCGCCATTTGGGGATCCCCCAGCCTAAACCCCAACTCATAAGAATAAATATAAATCTAAATCAAAATGTAGAATAGGCAAATGGAGTTCTTTATTAAAAGGGAAGCGCCAGGTATTTATACTTATAAAAGGACTACTGCGCCTACTGCCAACCTATCAGCTAATCACTGGTTCTTCCAGTCAACCATTCTCTTTTCTTCCTGCTGCACTTAATCTCTTCCTGATGTTGACCCTCTTGCCCCACCCTTTCCCAATGACCAAATATTAGTTTTGGCTCATCCTCAGCATTCAGTTGCTAATGATCTGTATAATTGATAATATAAATAAATATCAAATCTGAAGTTGACTTATTTAATATGCACCAGATACATCTTTGGCTGCTTGGTAAACTTGGGATTCATCAGCTTCTCATTAATGACATGTTTTAGCTTGTCATAGTTGATCATTCAGGGAATTGCCTGCCTCAGAATATAAAATTATCAAATTGGTGTCAGAAACATCCTTGGCTGTCTTAATATCAAGTTTGTCAGTTTCCACTAACATTTAATAATTAATATAAGTGGATCATCTTCAGCTACTAGTCGCTGGTGATTCATAAATCTAATTCAGGACATTGATTAGTTCCGCTTGATCCTAACTTTTAACTTTGACGGAATACTTGGACCTAGATCAACTTAATTTGGAGCACCTACCTATTAATAGTACAAACACCAAGAAATTTAGTCAACGAGCCTTTCTTAGTATTGGACATTTCATCCTAAATCTCAATTAATCAATAGTGAAATCCATCTGGTTAAAATTATGACATTTTCCCCCACTTAACCAGATGGTATTCATCTTACATTCCAGCCTCAGCGTGTGAGGCGGATGTCCAGGGCTTTCCCCTCTCCACCACCAACAAATGCCAGAACACAACCACTGGGTTGGGGTCACACCAGTGTGATCTTTCCTTCTCTTGGCTGAACCAGTGGCCATCCCTGCCAACTCCTCACCAACTCATAAGCTACTCCAGCATAACCAGCAGAACCACTGTAGTGAGCACCACTGTCAGGAAATTGCTTTTCTGGTGACAGTGGGCTCTGCTAGCTGCAGCCAACCAGTATGAAGACTGGTCAGCCCTTGCCATTTCGCCTTAGGCATCAGGGCCATCAGCATCAGATGACCCCTTGGCGTTCACCCGCACCATTTGAGGATCCCCTCAGCTTAAATCCCAACCAATAAGAATAATTATAAACTTAAATCAAAAGGAAAAATAGGAAAAGGGAGATCTTTATTGAAAAGGGAAGCACCAGGTACTTATACTTACAAAAGGGCTACTGCACCCACCACTGACCTATCAGATGATTGCTGGCTCTTCCAGCCAATCATTCTCTTTTCTTCCTGCTGCACTTACTCTCTTCCTGATGTTGATCCTCTTGCCCCATCCTTCCCAATGTCAAAATATTAGTTTCAGCTCATCCTCAGCATTCAGCCACTGGTGAGCTATATAGTTGAAAATATAAATAAATATTGAATCTGAATTTGAATTAGTAAATGTATGCTGAAACATCATTGGACAGTTGGTAAACTCAGGATTCCTTGCTTTTAATAGATGACACGTTTCAACTCATCATAGTTGATCATTAAGTGAATAGCCTTATTCAGGTGATATTCAATTATTAAACTAGGCGCCATAAACATCCTCAGCTACCTTAAACTCAGGATCATCAGTTTCCACCAACATTTAATAATTATATAAGTGATCATCCTCAGCTACTAGTTGTCAATGATCCAAATACCAATTTGGGCCAGTGATTGGCTCTGCTCAAACCTAACTATCAATCTTGGCGGAATACTTGGATTCAGCTCACCAAATTATGGAGCAATTACATAGCAATCATTTACATAACCACAAAATCTTTCAATGAGCCATTCCGCCAGGATTGGTCATTTCATCCCAAATAACATTAAATCATTGGAGGAATCTATCTGGTTAAAATTCTGACACTTTATTAGTCTAAGAAATTGATCAATTCATATAAATTATTTAGCTACACTTTAGCTAAAATTACCCATTAAGTTTTTTTTTAGTACTAGATGGTCCTACCCATTAAGTTTTGTTATTTAAAAATTGTGATTTATATATTAAATATAATTCTTATAGTAGAATAAACAGTTATGTTATAGATCAATTGTAGTAATTAGCAGCTAATAGAAAATAAATTTATTTAACAATACTATAACTGTTATATATCTGCCTAAATTTATAATGGGTTTTTAAGACTAAGCTAGATCTAATTTTATGTTTATTTAGCTATTATAGTTGAGGACTGTAAGGTGCAGTAATCCCAAGCTTCCTGCATCACCTCAGAAGGTATTAACTACTCAAGATTTCCATTTGAACTCCTACCCCAAATTCCTTTATCTTTTAACCTTAGTTTAGTATAGGTTCTTAGGTTCATAAAACTGTATTTTTAATTGGACAATGTCTAAAGAATTTTTTTCAATTTATATCAAAAGCAAAGACATTGAGATCACATGGGAGCAACTACTCATTTATCCATTTATAAAGGCCAAACAGACTAAATAATGAAAAATAAGAGGGACACTACATCTCAGATGACTATTGGTATATTATCATAAAAATATTTGAAATATAACAAATGACAAAGATGTTTGAAGTGAGAGAACACACCCCTGCTGTGCCAATGTTTTTTTGGTAGCTTTATGATTTTATATTTTAGCCACAGGCAAGAAAAATGGGCAGTGTCATTGATTTACAATTTTACTTAAAAAGGCAAGTCAAATCAAGGTTTTTGATGAAACAGGTCATTGTAAAGGACGTTTTTGAATAGTTCAATATAACAAAAGTCAAGGACCATCTAGTACTAAAAAATATAACAAAAGTCAAACTTAAAGTAATAATGCTTTGCAGAATTAAGTCTTTATATACAGATTCAGACTAGTATTCTTGAAAAGTAAAAAAGGTCCTCAAGTGCTAGACTAGTTGGGTGAATTATGTGAGCTAAAAGGTTAATTTATTAGCATTTGAGATGAACAACTTCACCTTCCAAACAAAGCATAAATTATAGACTTTACTAAACTTGAATATCATATTTGGTGCCTTTGAGAGGTTTTGTGTGATTTTGAGGAAGCTTTTTCATTCTTTGAACACCAAAGTACCATTTATGACAGATAAGGCCATAATCCACTTTATATCAATAACCTTAGAGAGATCCTCTATGGTCTTCAGAGGCTCACCTTTGGGTCCCTTAACCATAGGATTCATGGACTTTGTTTGACATTCAACTATATAGATATTTCACTATCTGTAATATTGTCCTCCATCTTGAATTGCCAAAGAAACTGGAGCGCAGGAGGTCTCTGAAGGGAAATACAGAGGCCAAAGGTGATACAACAAGGCCAAGTGACCCAGAAAAATGAAGAGACGTCCTAAATGGTCAGTATTTTGTTTACATATGAATATTTAAGCAAAATGCACACCAATCTGGCCACAACC